TGTAGCCGATGAACTTTGCAAATACAAAATCGGGATCCATGAATGTACTACAACAACAAAAATAAAAAAAAAACATTTACTAATCGAAATTCATGATGTGACAGTTGTGTGTGATATGCTTGTCGGTCAGAATTCATAGTCGCATGTACAGTCGGCGAGAAAACGATAACTGGCTGGTGTCGGTGGGGATTAATTGGCGAATACACAAGCGCAGCAAACGATAGATATGCCTTCTTCTATAGCTTCCCTGGCGATCGACGTGATTACGGAGATTGCGACGAGGCGATGGAACCCTTATTTGGTTGTCTAATCATAATCGTGATCATATATCTAGCAAACATCGTGATCGATTGCCAAATACCGTGACTTATTGGTGTATAGACAACCCTAGTGTGTATGATTGCCAGGCCGATGGAGACGTCGTATATATGAGGGAGGTTATGGCAAATCGTCAATGTGTAGTACCTACTGATTTTTATTTTCTTCACGAGTTCTTCACTTATCCTTGTCAAACAATTGATCGTATACCACTCCAGGGAAAAATAATCTCAAGCGCTTTATAAAAAAGGTAAGGTGCTAATATTTTTTCTTACGGAAGGGTTAAAATAGGAGAGACTTTTACCCAAATCTTAAAATCCATTTTCCATACTTATGATCATATAAATAATCAACAGAAATGTGAGTACCACTTTTGTAATTGACTCGATCTAGGGTTCCCTATGGATTGTAGCCTAAAGTTGCCACTTGTCAACACTAACATTAGGATATACTCCCTTAATTCCAAATTGTAATTCATATAGATACCTGAATGACTTGCAATTTGGAATGGAGGTGGTATTTAGCATTGCTTCTTGCAACTTTGGTTCCTCATGTGTTAGCTACTATAGAACCACTATTTATTTAAGTATTTTTCTCTCTCCTTACTAAATAAATTAGGGTCTCAATGAAGCCATGTTTCGTGGCTCCTTCAGCTTTGACTCCATGGTTATTATAGCATAGAGGCATAGTCAGGAAGAGCTCGGCCAAGCGGCCCCTTAGACAACCATAGTGCTTCTAGTAAATGATTGTTTGCACAAAGAAATACGGAGTACGAATTTTGAAAAAGGAGACAAAGAGACAGGGAAAACAAAGCAGTGAAATACCTTGGCAGTTTGAATCCTTACAAAAATTAATTAGAATGCATGGAAATTACAAAAGAGATGTTTGATACTATATGAAGGGAAAGAATAACCTGCCGTATAATATATGGTTGTGGAGAGATGTGAATGCTCGAGGACTCCACCATATATGGTTTAAATGTTTGTGCATGCATTTAAAAATATAAAATTGCTTTGGTGCGCAAGGGACAAACGATAACTATGGGTCTATTTGGTCAATTGTAAGTTATGTGCTGTGAAAAAAGTTATAAGTTGTTTAGTTCAAACAACTATAAAACTTAACCCCCTCTCTTTATATCTATTGAAAAAGGTGTAAAACATTTCTCTATTTCCACCCATTTGGTGCGCAAGGGACAAAGGATGGAATATACCCAAAGACTTAGCCTTAGATAGGAGTGCTTGGAAAACAGCTATTCACGTGCCTGAACCTTGATTGCTTCTGCTAGGTTTCAACTCTAGCCTACCCTAATTTATTTGGGACTTAAAGGCTTTGTTGTTGTTGTTGTTGTTGTTATTGTTGTTGTATGTGCACATACCTCCACACAACAGAGGACAGGAAAAAAGCCAAGGCCAATATCTAAGAAAAGAAAGCATCAAAGTGTCATGAAAGGAGGTGAAAAGAAGGCAAAGTTGAAGCAGCCGCCTACTAGAAGATGTCTAAGAGAAAAACAAATTAAGGCTCTATACACGCATGGCTCACCTACCACTCTAGCAAGATAGACTAATTTTAGAGCGCAGTGAAAGTGTACACAGGAAGATCCAAGATACCGACTAAAGAACCAAAGAAAACTTGGAGTAGCTTATCACCTAACTGAAAGCTGTATTTTGGCATTAGACATATAGGTTTCAATAAGCAATTAATTAGCTGGAAAGGACATACTAAGTACTAGTACTAGTTCTATTGCAGTACAGTTTTAGTGCAAATCTCAGGTGCGTGACAGGTAACATAAATGTTAAGGACATAAAAGATTATGAATTATGCACACGCTCCTGTAAAGACTTGTCCCTTTTCTCTAATATAATGTGTGATTTGGATCCAATAAATACATTGTCGTGAAACATTTCTTGAGACAAGACAAGCCTACTCCAAACATGTGTCATACTTCCACTACATGAGATTTAAGATTTTCAGTGTTTATTTTTTAATGGCCGAAGGTTTTGTAATCTAATTTGACAATCTCCTTGGGTGAAAAGAAATTAAAACAAGGAATCCCAACCCTAAAAACCACTATATATTTAATAAATTACCCTTAGGAATAATTCCTTAACTAGACTAAAGAAACCTTGGCTATTTCAGTCGGCCATTCATAAAAATCAGTCGAGCATTCTTGGAAATCACGTAGTGATCAAAACTACAAAAGGTGTAGTGCAATCATTCTAAAATAAATGATTTATGTTGTTGGAGTTTGTATATACAAATGTTTGATGACTCCTCCCATTTATTAGGTTTCAATGCAGTGCTTATTAATGATTAATGTTATTTTATTTGATCTCATCACAAACCTTAAACATAGTCCAACTTAACCTAGTATATTTAAATAAGTATATAAAAAATAATATTGTTTCTTTATGGTAGGTTAGAACCGGCAACTGTCCATTGAACCTAGGTTTTATTAAAATATGAAAATTTAAAATGAAATTGCATAGTATACAACAAATAGGCCTATAGATTTGATTAAAATATGAAAATTTAAAATGAAATTGCATAGTATACAACAAAGAGCCTTGGGTTTGTTCCACTAATCAGATATTTTCATTTCCCCCCCTACTCATGTATATATATGCTGTTCATGCATGCATTGTCGATAAAGCATCAAACTAGTTGGGAAAAACCATTTGATCCTAACGTAGCAGAAATGAGACTTAAGACGATCGATGCTGGAGTGCTGTACGTATGCACTTTATTTCCTAGAAAGCAAATAAAGGCCAGCTCAACGTAGGGCTAAGGAATCAATTAAACCGCTTTTAGAGAAGTTGATGATCAGAAAGCTCCAGTTTGGATTCCTCCGGCACTGCTATGACGATAGGACGACTGAAACAGAATTGTACCATACTTAGTCATGTGAGTTTTGATTATATAGCGCGAGTTTTCTCGTTGCACTTCTTTTTTTTCCCTACTAGATGATCACATCATCGAGCACACAATCTTATTGGCTTCCATGAATTCAAATTTATTTCAGCCCGCAGCAGTTGTGTCCAGCAACATCGCGGATATTGTATATTCAGCTAGGTTGATGCATGTATCTAGCAAATACGGAGTATTTCCTACAGGGGTTCAAGTTCAATGTCTTGGTATGCGACGTTTTTGTCTCTGTTGCAGTTGACTCCATATTGTTGTGCTGATGAGGTCAGGTGATTATGCTCCACGAATTGTTCCCTGACGCCACTGCTACTACTACTTCAACCAACAACCACCCATCCATGCAGATCGATGCAGCACCGACAGTCTCTAGCTAGTTTTTTGCCGGCCGGAACTGTTAGCTTGGGCGGGGCATAAACGAACCTCTAGTGGATTTCGACCGGCTATAAAAATAATGATTAGCTAGCTAGGCATCTTTCAGAGTGTACTTTGACGGATATTTATGGGCTGGAATTTTCAGTTACCGGCAGAAGATGAATATTCAGAAAATTAAAAAGGCCGGGTCGCCATACCATAGTAGTGTATTATATATTCACGTCGATCTTATGCAACTTATGAACCATTAATTTTACCACCGTCTTCACACATGTAGCCCTTTGTTCCAAATTATAAGTTATTTTAACTTTTTTGAAAAGTCAAAACATCTAAAGTTTAACCAAAATTATAGTTACTAGCTCGTGTCTGAGCCTCTGCATTTCTACCGCATAATTTAAACCAGGCGAATTATGTGTACCTAATTGAGTTACTAGCTCATTCAATGGGGAGTAATAAGATACCATAGGGGTGCTAAGTGCACGTTGCTGGGGCAACGGCCTTTCCTGAAAATTGAAGATAGCTACTGTCTGTATCTATTTGCTTGCAGGTAGCTAGCTAGCAGCATGGCAGCAGGTCCACAACCACAAAGCCTGGTTGCAGCAATGGATCCAGAGACCATTATGATGACAACATGCATCTTCCTCTCCTACACAGAGACTGTGTATGTATATATGCTTATATGGAGAGAGAGAGAGAGAGAGGCTGCTTGTTGTGCTTCCTGCGGCAGGCATTCCACGGCAAATAAAAGCACTACACATTGTGGTGCACATAGGATGGTGCATGACTTTCACTGGATTAGGTGAGACATGGCCCCCTTTTTTATCTTTAGGGGGGCAGTAATATCTTCAAGTAAACTCAACACCACTCTCACACTTCTTCAAGTTCTAATTTCCTTCAAGGATAGGGTTTCTTGCATTGGGCCCTTCCGTTTCAGGTAAAAGTTGGGAGCAAACTAGTCAAACTTCCCATCATGCATGGACAATGCATAGGCTGTGTTTAGTTCCTAAAAACTTTCTCAAAAAGTGCTACAGTAGCCATCACATCGAATCTTGCGATACGTGCATAGAGCATTAAATGTAGAAAAAAAACTAATTGCACAGTTTGGTTGAAAATCACGAGACGAACGTTTTGAGCCTAATTAGTCCATGATTAAACAATAATTACTAAATAAAAACGAAAGTACTACAATAGTCAAATTTCCAAATTTCGCGAACTAAACACAGCCTATATATGATGGTAGTGGTATGCATGCATGCATGTCCAAAGATCTCCAGGGGGAGGAGATCGAGGGAGAAATTAAACCAAAACCTTAATTAATTAGGCGCAGCCACAAAAGCATGCAGCATTAAGCTTAGTTAGATGAGATAGCGAGAGAGAAAATAGAGCCCTTAATCGCCATGGGGTCCAGGCCGAGAGGGCGCCTGGCCTCCTCTCCCTCCACCCCTGACGTAACAGGTGAGACGCACACCCCTCACCTACACCATTTGTCACAGCAACGACAAAGACCTATGGGATGGGAACCTCGACATCTAAACTACTGTCCGTAGCTCTAAAGCTCCTTTCACCTACCAATATTTGGCGCTGCAGGTAAAGGCACTCACTCACTCTCTCACACACTAATGACATACAGACCACCTCTCTCTCTCTCTCACACACACACAGAGGCTGCTAATAGATGGCAGAACGAAGCAGCTAGGTTAGGGCCTTGTTTAGTTGCTTCCAACTCCGACACTATAAAAAAAAATTTCATCACATCAAACTTGTGGTACATGCATGTAGTACTAAATGTAGACGAAATCAAAAACCAATTGCACAGTTAGGTTGTACTTTGCGAGACGAACGTTTTAAGCATAATTAGTCAACGATTGGATAATTATTATCAAATACAAACGAAATGCTACAATACGCTACGGTGCTCACAGTGAATCCGGTGGCGCTGCGTTCGGGGAACTAAAAACTAAACAAGGCCTAGATCCATTCAGATGCATATATGCTGCCTGCCAATGCCAATGGGCAGGTGACTCGTAGTAATAAGTAATAACTTCCTGCTCCCGGCCGGCCCTTGCTTTGCTTGCGGCCTTCCAACCTGTCACTTCATCGATCTTCCTCCATACTTGTTCTCTAGTGCTTTTCTAACTAAGAATTGAGGCACTTTACTTCATACTATATTTAGTGGCAGAAAATGTAGTTATTTCTTTGTGGAGGTAATTATTTCTTTATTGTTATAAAATGTATTTTCTTGAACTAATTAATTAAGTCTTTTTTTTTCTTTAAGAAGTTTCTTCCTAACAACACTCACTGACAAGCTTGATCGCCCCACAGAACACTCTTTCGTGTAATCGGTGGCGTAACACGTTTTCATATATATGTTTCAGGATATCAGTAGCCTGATGATGTATATTCCTAACGCGTTTTCATCCTATGTTTAGATATCGATGGCGTAACAGCTTACCGGTTGAAATTTATTTTGATTTCTCATATTAATCCCACAAATTATATTGATCCAAGTTTTCTTGCACTGAGGTCAGCTCACTTAAAAACAAACCTAGAACTTAAGTCGTAGTAGCTAGTAAAAAGTTATTGTTTAAAACCCAAGCAAGAGTTCACCCATTGCACAAACAAAAACACCCACATATATATGCATATATGGTAATCAAGAAAGAGAAAATTTAAAAATATGGCGAGTCAAAAAAAAAAGGCATCATGGGGATGGAGGTGACATGCATGCCATACCTGTGAATCATCGTCAAGGCCCAGCTTGTTAACAAGGTACCTCATCACTACTCTAACTGTCATCCTCCCGTCTCTGCTGCCCATCAACAGCAACACACACACACAGCAGCAGCAGCAGGTCAATATATTAATCAAGGATGCATGGTAGATTAATCAAAAGAACAATAATCAAAACCTAATAATTAACTAACACAAAGGAATTAAGCAAAGTCAATTTATTATTGATTATATATTATGAATTAATGAACACATGAGAGAGAGAGAGAGAGAGAGAGAGAGAGAGAGAGCCAATAAGGTACTAGTAGTAGTAACTAGTAGGTGGTGCAGTGCAGAGAGATACTCCTATGATACATATGGAGAGTCGAGAATGGAGATACTAACCTAACCCGCAAGTAGCTCCTGGGGATCTGCGGCAATGGCGGCTCCCTCCTCCTGCATGGATGAGCGGCAACGGCATGAGCTAACCACCCACATTGCCCGGACAAGTCGCCTGGCAGGACGCGGACATGTCCTAGCTACTCACTGATTCTGGGCCGCCCGGAGCAAGAACCACGTGCCGGCGTCGTGGGCGGGTGGTGGCGGCGCCGCCGCCACCACTGTTCCCACCGGCGCTGCCGAGGACGAGGACGAAGGCCCTGCTGGTTGTAGAGAGAGCTGCAGCTGCGGGAGCAGGGGCAGGGGCAGGGGCAGGGCCGAGGCCGGCTGTACGGACGTCGAGGGGCCTGCGTCGTCGTCGTCGGGCCTCTGCCGTTTCCGGTGCGGGGGCGACGGCGGCGGCGGGGATGCTGAAGACGGGCCGATCCCGAGCTGAAGCCAGGAGGAGCCGGCGTCGCTGCCGCTGCTACTGCTGCTGCTGGCTGCCGCTTCCTGGACCTGGACGTCGCGCGGCGGCTGCGGCGTCGGCGCGGGCTGGTGCACTACTATCTCTGGCTCCTCAGGCTGCTGCTGCTGCTGCTGCTGCGGTGGCGAGGCGGTGTCCTTGCTCTGCCGGTGCGGGTGGGAGGGGTCCTGTGCCATGGGCCTCAGGACGACGCTGCAGCGGCAAGGAGACGACGGCGTCGGCGGCAGCTGATGTTGTTGGCTGTGGCTTCTGCTGATGAGGAGAACGCTCTCGGCGGCCGGCCCATGGGCGTGGCGGTGCGGCCGGAGCAACGTCACCATCCTTTCATGCCTCCTCCTCTCTGGTGGCGTTGCGCCGCGCCGCGGCCGACACCATAGAGAGAGGTAGCAAGAGGAGGAGGAAGAGACGAAGGTGCAGCAAGAGGAAGAAAATGTTCAAAGGGGCAAGGTGCCTTTGATATAAGCAAGGTAGACAAGCAGCACACGGCCAATCATACATTACACTGCACTTCTCTTTATTTCTCCCTCTGGCCTCTGCTGGCTACTGGTGCCTCTACAAGTACACTATACTATAGTACTACTCTTGAGCTGAGCTGCGTGCTGGATCGAGTAGAGAGAAGGTAAGTTGTCATGGGCGTCACGCACAGTGCCTAACTTTTATGTTTATTGTGGGATGGACGGGTGGATGCACTACGAGACATGCCATGTTTTTGTTTCTCTTTCTCTCTACTGTGTGTGTGCGCAAAAGGGCATATATACTTGCTGAGGTCATCACATGCCGTGCACTAGCGCGTGTGTGACGTTGACTAGTGGGCATGTTGGTTTCTACTTAAGCTTCTAAAATTCCTGTCACATCAAACGTTTGATATATGTATGGAGTATTAAATATAGACTAATTACGAAACTAATTGCACAACTTGCGACTAATTTGTAAGACGATTCTTTTAAGCCTAATTAGTCTATAAATTGATAACGTGGTGCTATAGTAAACATGTGCTAATGACGGATTAATTAGGCTTAAAAAATTCATCTCGTAAATTAGTCTCCATCTATGTAATTGGTTTTGTAATTAATCTATATTTAATGCTCCTTATTAATATCTAAATATTTGATGTCATATAAATTTTAGGAGCAACTAAAGAACCAAACACCTGTTTGCGCATGTTGTACGTACCGCTTGTGTGTGTGTCACAAACTACTGCTTAACCTTTCCAATCCTTGCAGGTGCGTTTGTTCTCTTGCTGTTGTTATTTTATTATATGGATGGATGGAACACACGAGATGTAAGTAGGGATGATGATGGAGCTGATGAGGTACCCTAACCACGAGAGAAGCTAGCACAGGTAGCGACCGCATCTCCACATGCAAATTGAAGCCAATGCAATTCACTTATTAAAATCATGTGTTATTGAGGCTGTTTGCAGGTTGATTTCTAGACTGATAAGCTCGGCTAATATTGATTTGTTGTGAAAGAAAAATACTATTGGTTGACTAATAAGCTCTGACTGAAACCAATAAACGAACAGACTGATTATATATATCAGCACACACGCTAGAGTTTCAAACACAGATTATCGGGATATTATTTTCTCACTTTGCAACGCATGGGCTTGACTGTAGTAAAGATACAAATGCTAATTAAGTAAGGGGGTGTTTAGTTGGTGATGTGAAAATTTTTGGATGTCACATCGGATGTGTCGGAAAGATATCGAGAGGAGTTTTTGATACTAATAAAAAAATAAATTACAGAACACATCAGGAAACTACGAGACGAATCTAATGATACTAATTAATCGGTCATTAGCACATGTGGGTTACTGTAGCCTTTAAGGTTTTTCATGGACTAATTAGACTTAAAAGATTCGTCTCGCGATTTTCAACCAAACTGTGCAATTAGTTTTTTTTCATCTACATTTAATACTCTACACATGTGCCGTAAGATTTGATGTGATATTTTGGGTTGAAATTTTTTGAAAACTAAACAGGCTGAGGTGGAACCGAAATTAAGGTTGGAATGTCAGTGTGACTGCTGCGACGCCCGTACGTGTACTCGTGCCTTGCATTGTCACCTCAGCTGAGCTAGCGACCGTACGTGCTCCCGATCGGTGCTCCCTCCGTTCTCCGGTGGGGCCTGCGCAATATTCCTTGCTTCCCTAGTAGATCCTCCGCACTGATGCGTCCATCGATATATAGCTAAGCCATTAACTCCATCCATCCATCCATGTCAGTTTAGATCAAGGTTGATTGCTCATCAATCGATCGAGATGTTCGATCAATCTTTATTTAATGATATATACATGCATATATCACTCGACTTATTTAGCCGCTAATAATATGCGCTGCATAGTGCATACTAATTAAATTTTGGCAATTAATTTTCTAAGAAAATTATGTTACATATATCACCATATTAGTTAAGGGATCGAATGCTCTTATATGTGAAATATTTTTCGCTACCACGCGACCGTCTCTCTCTCCCTCTTCCTCTCCCTCTCCCAAGCGCCCGACCATCTGGAGCTCATCCACGCCCGTGCCTGTGCTAGAGAGGAAGAAGAAGCCGGCGGTGGCTAGGGTTCTGGTGCCGGCGAGGTTAGAGCTTCCATCTCCGGCGACCTTATAAGGGGGTTTAGGGGAGGCGGCTGCGACACGGCGGTAGGGAGGGTTGAAGGGCGGCGAGCGAGGTGTCGGATGGCGGGGGACAATCGGTTGGGCGAGACTGACGCCAGGGGCATCGCGGCGAGCTCGCCGACGACCTACCTTGAGATTAGGGTGGGCGGGTTGAGGGTGGCGCGGCGAGGTGGCTCGTTGCCGGCGGTCGGTGCTGTGGGCGGGGGCGGGGCGAGGATGAGGACAGCGGAGCTCGCCGGCTCCCTGGGGTTAGGGGAGGGCATTGCCGAGCGGCAGGGGCGGGAGGTGGGCATCGCAGCCGGCGGCGCGGCTGCTACTGGCCGTGGCAGCAGGGGTGGGGGAGGAAGGGCGTGCGCTGGTCGCGCCTTGACGTCGTCCAATATTTTTCTCTTACGCATATAGTATCAATTTATGTCCTAAATATATATTTGTTGCGAGTATATTATAGATCGAAAAGTTTCAACACCTTTGTAAAACGACTCAAATTTGTTCAAAGGTGCTTTTTTATAAAAATAGAATTCTTTTATTCCATCCTCTGCAAGAATTTTGTACTCAAGGGCTATGCGCTATAGTTATTCATGCAAAGAAAAATTAGGTTGGTACTTCCTCTGTCCCAAAAAGAAGGACATTATGGGTTATGTGTTGGTCAAACTTTCTCAACTTTGGCTAGGTCTATAGAAAATGCGTGCAATATTTATATCTCTAAATAAATTTCTTATGAAAGTATATTCAACGATCTATCTAATGATACTAATTATGTATTATAAAAATTAATATTCTTTTATATATTATTGGTCAAAGTAAAAAAAAAGTTGATTTCTCAGAAAGCGAAAATCACTTCTATTTTAGGACAGAGGAAGTACCATTAATAATCTACATTCCAGTGAGCAACTAGCTGCGGCGTGAAGCATTGAAGGGATCTACGAGTATGTATGAGCTCCACACATGTACTTGCATTGAGAGTTGAGGCTGCAATATAGTGGAGGTACGCAGTTCGCCATGGTGTCCTTGTCAGCGTCGAAGCATCAAAGTACAGTAGTCTGGCTCCTATATTGTCTGCGTCCATGCATAATATTCTTCAAATTCAATACTACACCGGTTGGTTCGATCCGGTACTGCATGAAGAAACAGTCTTAATTGTGCTGTTTCACCTTCAATGTTTCCCACATGGACAGCTCTAAAGTACACATTGGATCTTCAAATCTTCGTTGACACACAACGAATATGGAAATTCAATTCCCAAGTTGTTTTCAAAGATGGAGGGTACAAATGTTTCAATTTAGGTGTTAATTTGATGTTCTGACGTTACTGGAGTTAGCGCGGGGATAAATTTTGACAGGAACTATACTTGAGAGAAGTTGAGGCTGCATTGAGAGTAGTTGAAATGAGGGAACATTGAAAACAGAGAAATTTTAAAGTGCATGAAAATAATGGTTAAGATCTCATGCTTTAAATTTGAGAGGCATCAATGGAGAGAAACTGTGTCGAGATCTAATGGTTCAAAGTTGAGAGGTATCAACGAATGCTACATCGGTTGGTCAAGCGCTCCAGGTGGCACCCTCGTGGCCTGGGTTCGATCCCCACGAGGGCGAATTGCAGTGCTAGAGGTAAAAAAACCTCTCTTCTGCCCCGCGTCGCCTAAAGCACAGGTTTTTAGCTTCGGCCCACTCACAGGGTAACGACTTCCTGTGTGCGGGCGGGATACGAGGTTCGGAGGTTTTCTCGGACTGGGTGAGGAGTCATCTACCTTAATGCGAAATGCTCAGGGGGCGCATGCTATCCCCCCGTAGTCCGAGTTTTTTTTCAATTAAGAGAGACTTAAGTTGTGGGCTGATACAAAAATTTGTAGGCTAGAAACTGATTTCAGAATAAAGTCGATTGGTATATTGGTATTTTCGCATGAAGCTGACTTGCCACCAGGCCATCGCCTCTTCTTCAACACTAGCCCCACCAGCCTTCTTTTGGCCTTCACCTCTTTCATCCACACCTTCACCTCGACCACATTGTGCCATTAAAATCGCCACACCTGACTGCTCTCCCCATGCTACAGAAATGTGCCTTACTAGACCCATAGCCTAGTGACCTACCACAATGTGCCTGACTAGACCCATAGCCTAGTGACGACCTACCACAGGTATCTCTGAAAGTTCAAGTTTACTTTTGATAAATGAGTGACAACTAGTAAACTAATGCTTTCAATTGGAGATGTTTAAGCTAGGGTCCACGAGATGTAGTTGAGGACCACATGAAACATGGTGTAGATGCCGATGATGTAGGATCGAGATGGTGAAAGGTCCTTGTTTGGTTTTGGTAATTGAGTGACAACCTTAGGTGGACTAATATGTGTTTAAGTGAGATACACATGTGATTAGTCCACAGATACATGAGTGTGAGCAATACATGCCATGAAGGTTAGATGGCTTGAACTTGGTGCAAAGCTCACACATGTGATGAAGGAGCTCATTACATATGAGACATGACATGGAGTCATGTGATCAAAGTGGAGAAGATCAAGACAAGACTTGGCTCTACGGACCGTTTGCAAGTGTGAAGGGAAGTTGAGTGATGACTTGGCGTTGATGGACCGAGGCAACGGTGAAGAGCAAGTGAAGTCAAGATCGATGAACCAACAAGGTCACATGGTGATATGGTTGGTGCATGTGTTGCATCGACATTGGAGGAGATGGAATGGA